GTATGAGGAAATAATTCATCAAATGAAGAGGGGAACTCGAGTTGTCTCGGCGATTGCCGGCCCTTCGAACGTTTCAACACCAACCATTGTTGTTTCTTTGGTCAAAGTGATGAAAATATTAACCTAATCCTCTCAGTTGGGGTTACCTCTATCTTTAGGAGGGACTGCCCTAATACCTAGTGCTGATGTTGAGATTCTTGGAGATACATAAAGGGTGTCACGCACCTCAGACTTTCTATCTTCTGTCTTCTTATTTCGACTAGGACCGTGTACTTAAAGAGAGGACTGAGCATCTACTTTAGAAGAAGATTTATTTTAACTTTCCATTTTAATTGTGTATTACACCCGACAAACGTCTTCTATCCTGTTTATTTATGGAGTCAGCCATATGGATGTTCTTTTGGTTGATATCTTATAGAGAGACAACTGCTGCATGACAATGTCCATGATCTTAGGCTTCAACGTGATATGTATCTTCAAGACGTAAAGAAGGCTTATGTTTCTCTTACCAAGGTGGTAGATGCCTTATGTGCTTTAAACCTCCTTAGCTTTTTAGTTGATCAAGTTAAGTTACTTGGGAGGAAAGTGGAAAAGAAAGATAAAGCTCAATCTTTTCCTCAGGCATCACTGTCTGCTATAAAGGCATTTCTTTCAACTGCTCAAGCAAATCTCAATTTGTGCATTGAGAATATCTATTTTTCTCAAAACTGGATGAAGCGACTGACGCCGACTTTATTGCAAATGGAGCCTTTTTACTTTCCTTTGTGCATTTTTAGGGAGAAAGCACGAGCGAATCCTATAGTTAAAGATTGGAAAATTGTCTCGCTCAAAGATTAGACATGCCCTTCTCCTCCTTTTTTTTGACATTCCTACTTAGTTCATTTTCGTAAATGTAATGCCATTCATTGGACAATGTGTATATATTAATTTGAAAATTGAATATCGTTGTTACCTGATTAAGGTATGCATGTTAGATCTTTAGCTTATCACTTTACACTTTGCATTAAATTTACGAGATTTTCGATCAAAGTTTATTGGATGTCTCTAGGGTTGTGCTCAGCTAAGGGTTGACACCCGTTCCCTTACACAGGTGTAAACTTGTTTCGAGGTTGAGGCGTGGTAGGCCCACCAAGGCCACTGGAGTGGCTAGATACAAAATGGGGAGCAGAATAGTTGTTGTCAATTTAGTGGTTTTGCCAATTGTGTGTGTGTGTGTGCTTTGCATTATGAGGTTTTTATTGTTTTAGTCATACACCTATGGAATTTATGATAGCACCCCAAGTCTTTGTGGTAGGGCTTCGATTTTCTCAATCGTACCCCGGACCCATCGTTATCTTTCACAGTCACAAAGAAATGAGATATTTCAGAAGGATATTCTTATTTATTTAAATGAAAATATTGTGATACATTGTGATGATTTGATTCAGTTTTACATAAATGGAGGCTATGTTGATCTAGAGTTAGCCATTTTTTCTCTGTTGGCTGACATAATATATTTTACCTTTGGGGGAAAATTTTCATGTACCTTAGATGGACATTAATGGAGGCTATGTTGATCCCTATAACTTCGTATTTCCATTCATTTTGATCTTGCTGCAATGCTTGGTAGATTCTCTTGGATCCAACAAGGCCAGAAATAACTGTGACTAGTTCATTGTGGAGGTTGTGGAACTTCAGCTTAAGATGAACATGGGATGTTACAACGTCTAAGGTCGTTGCGAAGGGTGTGTTGAGGATGCAATTGTAAACTCTTTTTCATGGAACCACCAGGAACTGCGAGATGACAATTCTAACATCTCTCCTTTTATTGATTTTAATCATCAATTTAAAGTACCCCCAAGGACGGGCGTCATGTTGTTGAATTCCTACAAATCAGACCCCTCATATGGCCATAACTTCTCCTTTTTAGGCCCATATTTTAGAAAAGATATGAGTATAATATGTCGCACAAGCTACCACCATCAATCAATATTTTGGAGACATAAAAATTTCCGATCATGGATCTTATGACAAACAGGAAGATATTGTTCGGGATTCCCCCCTGCCTTTTCCATATCTCAAAAATCGGGCATCGTCCTTTACATACCCATGACTAATGCAATTCTTACTTTCTAATTGATAGGAATTAGCTCTATGATCTTCCCCTTCATTGGCCCCTAGGATAGAGCCTTTGCTTGGAGGGCATCTCACATGATGGTCACAATATGTCAACGCTTCCCTTTATGCATCTTTTCTTATTTGTTGCTTGCCTCTTTACCACTGGTCACGATATCAACCATCTTGGTCGAGGACTTCTTATTTGAGGAATCCTCCCGGTCCTTCTTGTTGTCTTTGGTCTACTCGAACAAATGACCTATCTTAATTAAGATATAAATTTCATCCTTCAGCTGGATACAATCATTGATGCTATGGTCGTGACTTTTATGGAAACAACATTACTTGGATTTATCAATTGAGAGGATTCCCTGACTGGTAAAGGATTATTTACCACGACCTTTTAGAACTTAGTGTTAACATATTCTTTATATATTTTCTCTCGAAAAATGTTAATGGGAGTGTGTTTGTCAAACGGTCGTGAGTCTCACAGTCACCTTCTTCATTGTGCATGTTAGATCCCTTCCCAGATGAACGAGTGGAAGTCTGCGTCAATCGATGCCTGGTTGTCTCCCCTGATAATAAGTTTCTATTCCTAATTAATAAAGGGTTGAGACCTATTTAACAGCTCTTTCAAAATGTGAGTCTCCTTACCCCCTAACTTCTCCCTGAAGAAGATATCCTACTTTAAACCATTTTTAAAAATCCAATATTTTAGACTCTCGTTGGAGCTTCCTACTTCTATCGGTACATATGCAAAACAGTTAATATATAACCACAAACTTTCCTTCATGCCTTGGGTAATTCCACTAAGGAAGGTTATAATCATTGATTGCCTCTTTCAGGCCATGAAGCGAGCAGTGAAATTCTCACATAATTTGGTCCACATATCTTCACTTTCATCGGGCAAAAGTTTAAACTAGATCATAGCCAATCCGGTTAGATTTAGTATAAAGAGCATGCACTTTGCCACATCATCAATGTGATAGTAACTCAGAGGATCGTTAACATGATGCACATGCTCATCTAAATCTCCTTTTCTATCGTAACTATTCAGCTTTGGAGGTTTTTTTAGTGATTTTGGATCCGACTGTCATGGATATGAGTAGAAAGAGGATATTTTTTTAATCTTTATTCATAGGCTTCTCCAGCTGTTGCTCGAGGGGGGGGGGGGGGGGGGGAGCTCGAATGCCTCTGCCTCCTTAAGGACTGGGAGGAAGAGTTTGACATCTCTTGCTTCTATAATAGCTTATTGATCTTAGAGCCGCATCTAAACGAGACACAATCGATTTGGAGATGATAGTATGACTCCTTCAGGAAATGGCTTCTTGCACCGTGTTGCCTTTTGTATTTGCATTACATAGTCTTTCTTCGAGGTGAAGTAACCTTTCCTCCACTGCTTATGAATTCTATTGTCGAACCATGTTATAAATACTATTTAGTAGTTCGTTAGAGCCTTACACACCAAGGTTGACTTGCAACAGTTGGAAACCAGGTAATGCCTCTGGTCTAGGTACCATCGATGGAGCTCGAGTCCTGAGCGATGGCTTGTCTTGCTGAAGTTGTAGGGAAGAACCTACAAACGAGAGAGGTTGAACATGATCTTAATGTAGTGGTGATGTATCTCTTGCAGCTCGAGCAGTTGTGGTTGCCACGTGTTGTGTAACGAAGCGAGTAACTTTGGAACCTGCCATTGCTGGTGGATTTATATGGAGATCTAAGAAGCGGAGTTGATCTTTGATCATAGCGAATAAAAAACAAAGATATACGGTTCAAATTCAAGAAATATGAATCTCTAGGTTAAGGAAGTTTTAGTTCAATGAATTGAGAAATGAATGTTCAAACATGGAAAACTCAAGAATTAGATGTTGATTCCAACAAACAGGGTCATTATTCCGCACGGGAACCAGAATTAATCATTGATCGATGTATGTGGATTGCAATGGAGGACTCGAGCTTCTGATACGGTGGAAGAGAGACTGACATGCAAGATTAACACTTCAAAAATTAAGTCAGTATGAAAGTGAGATGAATGAATGAAATTTGAATTCCAAAAGTACCTAAGAAATACTATGTTTCTCTCTTATATAATAGAGTGGTTATAACCGCATGCTAATTTATTAGTGTGAAATACAGAGATCCATTTGATTAATTATGGATCAAGATTCACCTACATTTTGACTACGATAACATACCTACACCACATATGATGCGGTGAATCGTTCAACTATTTGGAGTGTAATTACTTGGACACTCTAGCCAGCCTGAACAATTTTTATTTTTCATTATCATTTATGTTTTTAAAAGTTCAAACTATTTTTGTTATATAAATATCTAATTTTTTTCAATTTACCTACACATTTTTTAACCAAAGACAAAATCACCATAACTCATAAAACTCAAAGCTGACATTCAATTTGAAAAGCATAGTAGTTCATTTGAAATAGTAGCTACAAGTTTTATTTAACTTTTTCAATATATTCTTCCCTACTTGCTCATTTCTTAAAACAAAAGTATTGTGAGCCTATTAATTTTGAAATGGAATATTTGAATCTTGGATAGCAAGAATAAAGATCCTTTTAGTGGGGGAATTAATTGGTGTCCCATTCCTCAAACTTTATTGGACACACAATGTTATGAATCTAATTTAGAATGTTCTTTTGATAATGATTGTTGAGGTGGGATGAATGGAGATGATGAGGACAAGTTGATAAAATATTTAACATCTTTACAAAAATATGAATAATGAGAACTCTAATCACACAAATAATAAAAGTAATATATATTCTTTTGCTCCAAAAAAACTTATTAGCTAAAGCCAATAACCATACATGAAACATATAACATAAACCACCAATTTGCAACTAACCTCTTTTACCTTAATCATCATAATAATTGCACTAACATTACATAATAGAACATGCATTAGGGTTTTCATCATTAAAAAGATTAGTAAGTTTCTCATCCATAGCATTTGGACTAGAAAGTGCTTGCATTGAGTTCTTAACATAACCAGCAGGTGCTTTCTTGTCATATGCTTGTGATATATAAGGATAAGCCACCAAATTATATGGAACATAAGGCCAAAACTCTGCTCTTTTTCCAGTGTTGAGTATTTTCTTTAGCACCCTGTTTCGGTCAATATAGCCACTAACTGTCACCTTGCTTTGCTTTCTATTTACCTCCACTTCCTTGACACCTGCATGGTTCCAAAATTGTTTAGACTCATCTTCTACAAGGCTATTACTTAGCTTTACCAATAATACATATGTTACATTTATTATGTTTCTTTGTGTTCTTAAATGATTGGTGAAACAAGAACAAGAGTTGAAAAATTTATTGCTCTACTCTATTCTTGTGAGAGACAATTATAGTATGCCTATACTTTTGTTTTGGACAAATTAGTGAAAATTTAATACTACCTCACACAACTTAATTTTTAAATTTATTAAATAATTAATGTATTTGATTAATTTATAGATTAGATACATTAATTATTTAATAAACCTAAAAATAATTGCCTCTCGTAGAAAAGAAAGAGGTAATATATTTTTTTCTTGCTAATGTTAGGTGCACCTCACGCTATGAGAACATAAATGTACTTATTTACTTTCCTATTTTTTCAAAATTTTAGATAAAAATAATACATTCATTTTCTTAATTGTTCTTTTATATTATAAATTGACCTCAGAATTAAAATTATCTATTAAAATAAGTGGTTATAAATAGAGTACAAATATCTTAACACTGATTATATATCTTATTTACGTAATATATATTTATATATTATAATTTATATTATTAAATAAAAAATATATATGTATCAATTTAAAAAAAATCATTATTAAACTATTGCATATAAATATAAATATCCGTTTATTTCATGATTTTCAATAATAAAATTTTTGAAATTTTTTTACAATAAATTTGAAGGACGTGTGATTTTCTAAATGATAATTTTTACAATAAGTTTGAAAATTTTAATTTTTAAAATAAAATTTGATATTTTTAAAAGATATGTTAAGGAATGAGAGAAAAAGAGGAAAAATATTAACCTTTCATGTAAGCAACAGAATTCCTAACTCTTCTTTCACAACCATCACAGTCCATTTTCACCTTTATTTCAACTGTCTGCAAGAGAAAAAATATTAAGACTAAGCTTATAAATAATTTTATATTAAAAAAAAATCATGTTAATTAACAAAAATTTGATAGATAAGATTGGGAAGTGATGAAAACCTGCATTGGTTTGCGTTTCTTTCCCCTTGTTGGTGACAGAGACACAGAGAAGTAATCTGATAGTTTATCAAGAACACCCATTGTTCTGTTTCAGAAAAAGAAAAGAAAAAAATAAAAAAAGAATAATAACTCTGTTTTTGTGTTTGAGATATAGAGAGAGATAGAGAGAGAAAGGCTTTATATTATTTGGGGGACAAAAATTGTAGGGAAGTGTTTTCCTTTATATAGGGGTATGGTATGTAGAAAACAACAAAGTTGTGTGCTGAAAATATATTTTATTTCATGTAAACAATAATGGTTAACATAAATGGTGTCCCACAACACAAACATAGATCATGTGTGTCTTGATGTATATTCTAATGAATGAAAAAAAAGAGAGGGCATATATCTGTCTCTTGAACAGAACATCAAGCCGTGTTTGGTTTTGGTTAGCTGGCTCTGAGCTCAACCAATATGGTAAATACAGCTAATTCTAGTGAAGAAGTTCTACAGTTCTAGTTTGGAAGATTTATGAAATACTAAGAGTATCCATCATACTCATATAAGTTTTTTAAATAAGTCGTTGATAACTTTTTATATTATTTTACTATTTTTAATTTTTTAAACAATTCAATTATATTTTTTAAATATTCAGATAACTGCTAACAAAAAATTTAGGTCAGTAATCGATTACAGTAAGATTAAAGTCACCTCTGAACTGAAGAAATAGGAAAATTTTTGTGAGTGTAATCGGTTAATGTCTGCACGTAATCGGTTATCATTGAAAGGAGAATTAATTTTGTGTCAGCTGTAATCGATTACAAGTTTTGTGTAATTGGTTACAGGCCCGAGTTTTCTATTTTTTCATTTACTTAATTGTGTGAATTGTGTCTCAATCACTTTTGTATTGTTTGTATAAATGTCTTGAAGGCATCCTAATCAATAACTAATGAAACTTTCTCACCCTTAATTCTCTCTCTCTCTCTCTCTCTCTCTCTCTCTCTCTCTCTCTCTCTCTCTCTCTCTCTCTCTCTCTCTCTCTCTCTCTCTCTCTCTCTCTCTCCACACTCTAATATTCTCCATCACTCACCAATCTTGTGGTTCTTAGTTTCAATAGTGATATTAGAGCATGGTTCGAGTGAAGAGACTGACTTACTTGTTTCGAAATTCCCTACTAGGTAGGAGGTGACATGTTGAAAAGTGTCAACGGTGGTACAAGTTTATATGAATGAAAGAGCTTCCACTTGAGAGAGAGCATTGTAGATAGACTCACACTTGAGGGGGAGTGTTGAAAAATAGTTACAAGTGTTAGTAGTGTGAAGAAGTCCCACATTGGTTAGGAATGTAGACGACTTGTTGATAACGAACATCAATGAAAAGTGAATTTATAAGTTCAAGAGTGAACTTATGAAAGAATTTGAGATGACTGACATTGACCTCATGAAATACTTCATCGACATTGAGTTCCACAAGTTTAAAAGGGCATTACTCATGCACCAAAGAAGGTATGCGCTTGAGATATTGAAAAAGTTTGAAATGGAGCATTGTAATGCTGCCATTACTCCGGTTGAACCGAGTCTACAATTGTCGAAGAATGATGATGAGCAAGATGTTGATTCAGCTCAATATAGGAGGCTGATTAGATCCTTGTGTTATTTGTGCAATACGCAACCAGATTTGACATTTAGTGTCGGTATTGTGAGTAAATTCATGGAGAGATCGAAGCTATCTCACTTGGAAGTAGTCAAGAGGATCCTAAGATATGTCAACTGATCTGTTGGTTGTGGAATTCTCTTTTCGGCAGCAGATACGGGAAGAAAATGCAATTTCCTTGGTTTTACATATTCTAATTGGTGCGGAGATAATATGATCGAAAATATATAGCTGGATACATTTTTATGTTTGGTAGAACATCAATCTCATGGTGTTCGAAGAAGGAACCGGTAGTTGCAATTTTGTCTTGTGAGGCCAAGTACATTGTTATTTTGTTATGTGCGTGCCATGTCGTGTGGCTAATGAATCTATTGAGTGAGTTGGGCAAAAATGATGGTGAGGCTATTACACTCCTAATTGATAATGTTTCGTGATTAATATTGCTTAGAACCTAACTACACATGGGAGGAGCAAAGACATTGAGACGAGATTTCACTACTTGAAAGAGCTTGTTAGTGAAGGAAAGTTAAGATTGAGATATTGTAGAAGTGAAGACTAAATGGTTGATTTGTTGACTAAGGGAGTCACAAATGAAGTGCTCATGAGGTTGAAGATGAACATGAGCATGGAAGACTTGGATCACTTGAATTAAAGTGGTATGTTGTTAAAAGTTAGTTCAAGTGTTGTAACCAGTTAACACGGGGGTGTGACTGGTTACAACAAGGAAAAAGTCACTTATGAGCTGAATAAAATGGGAAAACTTCATGGGTGTAACCGATTAACGTCTGCATGTAACTAGTTACCACTGAAAGAATAATTAATGTTGTGTCAACTGTAACCAGTTACAGGTTTTGTGTAATCGGTTACAGGTCCGAGTTTTCTATTTTTCTAGTTATGCAATTATGTGAATTGTGCCCCAATCACTTTTGTATTGTTTGTATAAATGCCTTAGAGGGATCCTTATCAATAACTAATGAAACTTTCTCACCCTCAACTCTCTCTCTCTCTCTCTCTCTCTCTCTCTCTCTCTCTCTCTCTCTCTCTCTCTCTCTCTCTCTCTCTCTCTCTCTCTCTCTCTCTCTCTCTCTCTCTCTCTCTCTCTCTCTCTCTCTCTCTCTCTCTCTCTCTTCCCATAATTCACCAATCTTGTGGTTTTAAGTTCCAACAATAACTCTTCAAAAACATTAAAATAGGTCCTACCAAATCGCCCAATATACCTCACTTTTTATTAATTTAGACATTTTAAATAAAAATGTTAAAAGAAAGTGAAACAAATAATTGTAAAAATAGTGTAGGAACATGCTTTACTGTAACAATTGTATCAAACTAAAGAACAATCTTTCATCTCAATTACCCATTGACTTCTTACACGGTAGTATAAAAAATTATGTAGGAACTTTGCAATAGAACTGATAATCATGCTCTAATACATACATCGGAAACCACAATAACACTCGAACATAGATAATGATATATAATAATTTTAGAAAATAGAACCATATAGTTAGATTATCAAAACAAAATAATTACATGTATTGATATTTCTAATGGAGAGCGAATCGAATCGACCGAGCCATCTCAACCTAGTGATATCTCCAGATCTCTGTCTTGTGACTCCTACATCGACTGTTGCCGATTCATTAGACCACCGTCAAAATTTTCCAGACCGCCGTTATGTGGCTCCGACTCCAGCACCAACTTCATTGTTGCTTTTCGCAATTATGATTTATGAGAGTCTCGAAATATGTTTCATTTCTCTTTATCATTTAAGATTTTGAGACACAATTCCACATATCTCCACCTTGACTCAAAAATGATGTTGATACCATAATCCTTCTATTTGTTCTCTCCAAATTGAATCATTATTTAACAATTTTGATCAAGTTAAAGCCACGTTTAAACCTTGATCCTTTCATTTGCATTCACTTGCACCTAATCATTTTTTCTTGCTTACGTAGTAAAGCAAGCCCCCAAGAATGATTCTTCAACCATTTTTTTTACTCCCTTTGTTTTTGAATGTCCCGCTAAAGGTCATTGTTTTTGAGTTTTGCAAACTGCATCCAAAATATAAAAATCATGGACAACATAGTTATGTCCTTGAGATGGTATAATCTCTCCAAATGATAGTCAAAGTGAACTTTAAAATTTCTCTCATTAGAACTAGTATCCCTAGTAGGAACCTCCATCTCAAATTGAGTCTTCTTTGCCATAGTTTATAATATCTTCATCTTTATGTCTTTACTCTTCCTCCCTTTACGAGCCTCACAAAAAATAATACATATATTTATGATGAAATTTAACCTTTTAGATTTCACTTTCCCTAACTTGTAAGCATTCCCACCTTCTAGATAACCATTACAAAAATTTCATAACTCTAACTTCAAGCTGGACTAGCTTGATTTGCACAAATGACAAAGTTTTAAAGACCTTTAAATAATAGTAGTCGACCGATTTCCCAATCCAAACATTCGTAGGTGTTTGAAAGCTTATTCTAGTGAATGGACATCTATTGATCAGATAAGTTGCTTTGCCACTAGTTTTACCCCATAAACTCTTTGAGAATTTAATTCCTAACATCATGCTAGAAGCGGTCAAATGTGTTTTTATAGCTTGGTTTTTTACTAAAATCATTAAAGTGTTTTAAAACAACTTCCACATATTTAACTTGCCTTGATCTTAAATCTCACAACTTGTTCTTGTCATGAAAGTATTCACTAGCTAATGATGAATGACCAATAAATTTGGAATCATATAAGATATATAACCCACATATTTTAAACCCTTTATCCATGATTAGTCTACCATGTGAAATCTTTAATACCCCATGTATAACTCTAGTTTATTAGCCTATATCAACAAACATGCTTATGAAAAACAAGTATTGCCTGAGCTCAAGAACAAACCTTACACTATGTAGAAGAACTCGTGATCATTAAACATTTAAAGTCTGACCATACCAACACCATGAACCCTGCAAGCCACATTGTCACCGAGTCGAATGACTCCACCATCTTCGAGCTTTAAAGTGTTCTTTCCTTGGACACATGTGATAAGATCATCTTAAGTCCATGACCTAAATATTTTTTTTAAAAAAAATCGATACCACTAGTGCAGCTGCACAATCATATTTATTCTCATCTGAGACAACTGCAATCTAAATAGAATCTTCATTGTCCTCGCTCTTGGGACAATTATTCTTGAAGTGATTGATCTTTTGACAAATAAAGCATTTTAACATTGACTTATCAATCCTTCTATATTAGGATATTCCTTTCCACTGACTTCTTCTCTTAAGACACTCAAGGCTTCACTAATACCGTCAATATTTAAATCACCTTTAAAAATTCTTTGGATCCTATAGCCCTATGAACTTCATCCAAACTAATAATACCTTCCTTACAATAAAGAAGGACATTCTTGAAGTGCTCAAATGATCTAGTTAATGAGCT